CTAGTAAATTGGCGACTGAAGAAGATGTGGATTCTCAACAACTAGCTAGAACGAGATCTACACTGATGATCAGGCATCAAGCGGAGCATGTCAAAGTACCTGCTTAGTCTAACCCTGACAGTGCTTTCACTCGACAAATTTTGGAGGTGGTAGCCCCGACAAAGCTAAGGGTTCCTCATTCGGATGCCTATAAAGAGAAATCAATTCGATCGACCTCTTGGCTTTTTTCAATTCGTCAGTCGAAATAATGTAGACAAGCGATGTGATGAAGTGTTGCCTTTTTCTGATGTTGTTTACGGAATCAACTCTTCACTAGTTCCTCAATCTTCTGATTGGTATCATTTTGACCTTCACGGAGTTCAAAATACTCTTTGTGGTGCACTTCGCCAATATATAGAAGCCTAGGAAGAGATCTCAGGTTCTGCTTCAGATAAAATAGGGTAAGAATTAGAGTGTACGTGCTTACATCAATTAGCTCCAGAAGGAGACGTTGGAGATAAAGGATCTAAACCCTTGATTGCTCAGATGGCTCTGACATAAGGGGTAAATAAAGGGTGATTCAGGTATGACTTGAATCTGCTTGAACAAACATCTTTCTCTGAACTGTTGACGATGAACAACATGCAAAACCTTTAAGGCTTATGTTTATTTTTGAATGCTTACATGCCCATAAACATCCTACCTCTTGCTTCTCCTTCAACTAGCCACGAAGTTTTTTCGTCTATAGAAAATCATAAGTAAACTTGAGATCCAACGGAAGAGGAGCTTGCTTGGATGATTATAATGCAATCTCTCGCAATATCTTATGCTTACCTTATGCACAATTTCATCTCCTATTTTATTTATTATATATTTTTTTTGTCAATTTTAATTTGTACATTTTTAATATTTCAATGGAAAACACAACAAAAAGCCTACCTTAATAAACAAAAAAATAAGACTAAGAGGTTATTTAAGTAGATGAGAGGTTATCTCAAGGTGAAGTGTGTAATTTCTCTACACAATGAAGAAGTAATAATTTATTTTAGTAGAGCTTCTGCAAATAATTCTAAGATTGGTGGACACTAATCTGTGGTTGAATGTTGCGACAAAATCACATAAAAATTCTTATTTGCTCAAATAGATAATTATTTTTTATTGAAATTTTAATCTTTAATGTATGCTTCATTTGCTATTGCGATTTAATCCTTATTCAAGTTACATCTAGAGATACATAAAAATAATAATAATAAAAAGATATACAAAATCTAAGAAACCCAATTCTCCTAACCTCTTATGCACATGCAAACCAAAAAAAGTCATCATCTATAAGTAATACAACCCAAGCTAGCTTAATGCACTCCACAAAAGCATTTTCTAGCTCTATGTTCTTAAAATTCTTGTCATATCCCAAGTAGATTTGAAGTTGCTTGTTACTTCCAGTCATTCTCTTAAACACATCATTTAAACACACCATTAAATGTGATCTCTTCATAACTTAGCCAAGTCATTAAATAAGTTTAGCTATGTGAAATTCACGTTCTTCCCTTTAAATATTAAACACATTGAAGCTCTCATTATTCAAAACATCATCAACAATCATTAGTAATAATCATTAAATGAGATGACTAAAAAACTATATTTCAAGAACTTTGAAGAAGTGCTCTAAAAGGGGATCAATCGACTTGAGGATTGAGATCTATAGTTTCAAATTTCGACAAGTTTCTTCATAACTCCCATAACTTTATATGTGACTCAAGTATTATATTGTCGAATGATTAGATCATACATTTGCATACATATCACACCAATTCAAATAAGCCGAAACGAACCAATTTTGATAATTTTCTAAATATTTTAAACCTGATCGAATAAAGATAAAAAATAAATGCACAATGCATTATCATGATTAACAATCTTCAATCTATTTTCCACTCGTTTTCATGACTCTTTGAACTTCCTTCAACTACAATTAAATAATATTTGAATTATTATTTATATATAATATTGAACCTTCTTCAAACTTCTTAAAACCTTCTTCAAACTTTTTAAAACCTTCTTCAAGCTTTGATTCCTTATCAAAATGGTCAAAGCATCTTCAAAGACGCTTTGTCCATGTGTAAAAAAGATTCAAAGAATATTCCATCGTGCTTTAAGAAAAAGTTTAAACATGTCAAAGATTGTTTGATCTATGGTTGAAAATTACAATTCATTGAAAATCGATTGTTCATTTTAATGAATTGTTCATTTTTTGAAAAATGAAAGATTGACATTCAAATAATATTCCATCCTCAAAGTTTAGTCATATCATTTCATCAAGCTTTATTCACACTTTGTACATGAACATGCTTATATCACATAACATTTGTAGATATGACATAAGAAGTTTTTAGCTGCAATGGAGGTTTAGATTTGAAGGTAAATTTTGAATGACTTTTCAAAATATTACAAACCCTAAAATCTAAAATCACAAACCTTAAAAACTAATAACAACAAAAAGTTATCACAAGTCGAAGATGAAATTAGACAAAGTGATGTGAAGAGAAATTAATATAGAGCTTTTATGTTGACAGATGTGAAATTTTTCAATGAGTGAAATGTTTAGATATAAATTTACGGATGTATTTGTCGGAAGAAATAATAAGAATATTTCCCAAATTTTTTTTATTATGTAATATATAAAGTAAACTTAATTTTATTTTTATTATACACACACATACACATTATATTAGATTGGTATTAATTAAATCGTTAAAATGTGATGCATTTGGATTTGGAAAAGCGAGAACGTTGCTAATAAGTTTTCACTGTACCTAAGTAGATGAGGTGTAAAAATGTTATTTTCTAGGTAAGCCCACGACACCAAATAAACTGCCGAAACGGGCCTCCAATAGGGAAAAAATTTGCGTGCGATAGACGTACGCTGCGCTGCGTGCGATATTGGGGTTATACCGAGGGTACAAGAGAGTTACATCCACGGTATAGCCCTTTGTAACCTCCTGTAACTTGCTGTAATCTATCTGTACCCTAAAATAAGTTTCGCGCTTCTGTTATCATATATTAAGAGGTTACACGTAAGTTACAGAGAGGTTACAGAGAGGTTACAGGGAGGTTACAAGAGCTTATACTGTGGATGTAACCCCTTGTACCATCGATATATCCCAACACAATTTTTTTTCCCTCTAATAAAGCACGTGGGTTGGCCGCGGAAAAATGCCATCTGATGTAGTTGCGATGTCGTTCGAGTACTTTTCAACAACACCACTGGACCAATGGTCTGGTTTTGCAGGCTTCCGCCATTCGCCTTTCTCTGCTGCTCCACCTTGCCGCCTTCATTCCATGCCTCCCTCTCTCGTTTCTCATGACGAAGCCAACGGGACTTCTCGACAAACTCATCAAGCCCTTTAATCGCCGTCATAATCGAGGTGCACTTCCGGGAAGTTCAAAATTGATCAATTTTGCAATTTTAGATTCATTTGATCCCTTGAATCCGTTTTTTTCGATGTCGGCAGATTTTCGGAAAGAAGAGGAAGATCTTGAGGCAATCGCGGCCAAGGAGACCAAGGTCTTCCGCTACGAAACCCTTGCGGCCGCGACCCGCAATTTCAGCGTCAAGCACAAGCTTGGAGAAGGGGGTTTTGGCCTTGTCTACAAGGTAGTAATTGACAAGGCCCCTTTCTCAGCTCTTTAAATCGATGAGATCGAGAGAGCTGATTTGAATAACAAGTGTTTGATGAACTGGCTGACTGATGGCGCAGGGGCAGTTGGAGGATGGGAGGATGGTGGCAGTAAAGAGGCTGGGTCGCTGGTCTCTGATGGGTGGCGAGGAGTTCACAAACGAGGCGATGTTGCTCTCCAGGGTTCAGCACAAGAACGTAGTCACTCTCTATGGCTATTGTACGCACGTTGAAGACAAGCTCCTCGTGTACGAATACGTTCTCAATGAAAGCCTCGACAAGATCCTCTTCTCCCGTATGTTGTCATTTCTTCTTCTCTTCCGTCCATCTACTAGAAACTGCTTTTTCTATGCCAAAGACATTATTGCAAATATTATTTTACAGAACTATCTTTCATTTGTTGAACAAATGAAAACGGAGAAATGCTCATTTCTGGATTAATTGTATTCAGTTAAAGTATGGATTGTCTGAACTAGACTTGAGGGATGATGTTGAATGGAATTACATTTATGATATTGTGATGGATTTGAACATCTCAAATTCAGCATGATTAGCATTCCTTGCAACTATAATTTAATGATTGTTCAAAAGCATTTTTATACAATATAAAATAATAAAAGCGATTTTGGGCTCTGATTTTTTAATTTCATTGTTTTCCATTTATATATAACTTGTTAGTGAAATGCTACTTATACCACTGAAGTCAAAATATGATTAACATCTTTCTAGATAAAGATATATGATGTGGGCCTACCATCTCTCTCTTATGGTATTACATGCTAGTATGCTGCATGAGATATGTTTTGAAAGAATGATTTTTTTTTGGGTTTGATAAATATTGCTTATAAGATGTATTTTGAAAATATATTGCCTTTCATAGTTGTGTGAATCATTTTTCCCATAAAATATTTATAACCCAAACTGATTTTTGGGAATTTTGGACAATTCATTTTTACTACATCTATAAGCTATTCTTTTAATATGACAGAAGTTCATGCAAAATGACTTGTGATTCCATAATGGAATGTAGGAGAAGACAAGGAAGCAACAATGATGTTGGATTGGAAAAAGCGCAATGATGTGATGATTGGGGTAGCTCGAGGACTTCAATACCTGCACGAGGATGCACACACTCCTATAATCCATAGTGACATCAAAGCTAGCAATATCTTGCTTGATGAGAGGTTCTGCCCAAAAATTGCAGACTTTGGTATGGCTAGACTCTTCCCAGAAGACCTTACCCATGTCAACACTCGTGTTGCTGGCACTAATGGCTACATGGCTCCAGAGTATGCCATGTATGGCTACCTTTCGACTAAAGTTGACGTCTTTAGCTTCGGTGTCCTCATCATTGAACTCATTACAGGTCAAAAAAACTCAACGTTTACTCCTCGGTCTGATGCTTCCACACTACTTGAATGGGTATGCTCATTTTTGAATGTCATTGTAATGCATCATAATACTTTAATGCGTTTCAATTGGTGTTATTTTTGGGAGTCAATTATATTTGAAATACACCTTTTCATGCATGAATTTATTACAACAAAGCATTATAAATGTAAGCATGAAATTTTAGGTGTTAGATATGTAAATACATAAGAATTGTGTGATTTATATATAAATTTTCCTAAAAATTTATACTTGCTTCTATCTGTTTGGTTGGAATCATGTAATATAATACAATACATTTGTAGGGGTAATCTAAGAATTATCAAAAAAATAAGCAAGCACAATGAGTCATCTTCTATAATATTCGAGCTGTATTTCTCTTTTTATCTTTAACTAGGTAGTGATTTTATTTTTTCCTTCTCGTTGTCGAATACGATTCAGTTTCTTTCACCATAGTGAAACATTCTTTCTAAATTAATAGAAGCTAGCCAACTTGACCCTTATGTCAGGTGGAACATTCTTATACGCAAATACCTATTGTACTGTCTAGAGCCATTTAATGAACTCGTTCATATTTATACTATCATCAAATTCTCTCAAGTAAACCTTCACTTTAAAATCTTGACTCCTTCTCTGATATTCCATGATAAATTGTCAATGTATTAGTTCACTATCATTTGAAATTATCTGATGGAAGGGATTCCATTCTTATCTCGATCTGTCAAGTTATCATTGTAGCTATGGGTGACCTCTCCGGGTTATCTCTTCTTAAAGTTGGCAACTCATTGTTGCATTTAAATGATTTCTCATTGTATATTCTCTATAGTAAACTCTTGGATAACTCTTCTCTCGATCTTGTCATTTTCTTCCATTCAAGGTTTTGATAGATGTAGGGTTCCAAATCAATGGTTGGTCGAGATTTATAATTTTGACAGCAAGTGTGAGGCAAAGTTTTTGTTGAAGGTAGGAAGGTTAGCATTTGAAAATTTAGGGTTAGGGCTAGGAATTGGGATAAAAATGTTTAGGGTATGGTGAGGGAATTTTTTATGAGTGAAAGGTTGTATGGATTTTTTCCTTCGGTCGCAAGGAATACAAATCCCTTGAACTGTAGGGGCTGTTTGGTAACTGGTTTTAAACAAGATTTAGGCAGGATTTAAGTTAAATCCCGCTAAATGACAAAAAACATCTTTTTAAATCATGAGCTATTGTAAGTCCCAAAATGACGCCGATTCGTGATAAATTCGGGATTAAATAAATTCTGTGAATCGGCGGATTTAGTAAAGTTGGGACTAGGGAAGAGGAAGATGGCGCAAACAAGCTTACCTTCATCAATGGTTTTTGGTAGGAGCGGAGTAGAAGGATGAGAAAGATGGGAGTTTCGACGGTCTCTGTAAACCGAGTTGTCGTCGTTGCTTTTCTAGCTAACTTTAATGGCATTTGTTTTGCGAGGTTCAATCATGAAGGCGATAGTTCTAAGCGAAACTGAGAGGGGGAGGGATATAAACATGGGTTTTGGGCGGAGATGGAATGTTTGGGCGAAACCGGGAGAGTGGTAGGATGTAGGCAAGGGTTTCGGGCAGAGAGGTGAAGAGGGGGATGGGTTGCTGGTTTTAATTTATATTTGTTTAAGTTAATTTTATTAATTTAATTGATTAATTATTAATAATTAATTTATATATTATCAAATTACTTATAATTAGATAAACTTAAATGTAATTATTTAATTGTTAATTGATGAATTGAAAATATATTTTTAAATTTAAGTTATTTAATAAAATTCTAAGTATTTCTTAATTTATATAAATAATAATTGATTAATGATAAATTATTGCTTAATAAGTGATTAGTTTTTTAATTATTAATTAATGTTAATTCGGCTTTTCTTTTATTTACTTAGAGGTTTTGGATGCCTATTTGTATTTTTTCTTATCTAATCTTTATTCTTGGATATTTACTTTGATAAATCCTTCTAAATTTTTCTAAAGTTGTCAAGGAGTCTTAGGATTTTTCAAAATTGACTTACTAGCATGCCAAACAGTTTTTAGAATTTAACCACCTCAGGATTTGTTAAATCAAGATTTACAGGATTTACAAGATTCTATTTAAATGAAATCTTACTTGCAACCAAACAACCTCTTAGGGTTAATCGATCTATGTTATAGACGATACTGTTCTAGGGCTCCTAGACGGTGTTAAGAAAGGGGATTTAGAGGGGATGTGGTTGGAATAACGAGAGAACGATGATATGCGAGTTCTATGGCATTCAGACAAGGATCGATGTCAATCGACGATTGGACAACGAATTAGAAAACAGAAAACAGAAATTTTCTGCTGTCAAACAGCTCTTTTCTGCTACCAAGCAACAGTAGCAACGAGCAAAGATGGTTGCTCGACTAAAAACAGCTGGTAGACGTCATTTGGAAGGGATGGGGGATGATGTCTATTGTTGGACCACAAATTGGAGGAGTTCGACGACTGTCTGGGTGGAAAACAGTTGTTGGCAAAACGACAAGGTGCGAATAGCAAAGGGAATCCACTATATGTTTCTGAGCAAGATATAGACCATCACTTGCAAAAGAAAGATGATACAATATTCTTTAAAGCATAAATTAGAGAATACAAAACACAGAAACCAAACTAAAATTTGCTAAACCAAAAAAAATAATAACATTTAAATAGTTCTTATTCTTATATAAAAATTACCCTAATTCTCATTAAAGTAATATTAAAATACTAATTAAAAGGGTCCCACCAGGCTAAAATAGCCAAGGAGACGTAAAAAAATCTTATTGAGACTATAGCATGGTCGTGCGATCTTGCTTCACTTTGATCCCGTGATCAGAATTGCGAGAAGCGGAAAAGCTCCCGCATCACACAATGCTCCCATGTGACATAAGGAAAGCCAACTATAACATTTATACTGTCTTGATTTTGCACTCAATAGAATTAAGCAAGGAAAATTGGTTGGCGCAAGAGAACAATGACAATACACATCCAACTTAGAGGCCCAGAAGAAATAGAGAACTAGAATTCCTGAACTAAGGAATCCAATGAGTGTTGTATTGAAACTACTTTTAGTAGCAAATCGAACCCACCATGATAATCAAAACATTGCAAACACATCTTTCTGATCGGTACTATTATCTTGTACCTTTTTATCAAAATAAACTGGAAAAAAACAACAAAAACAATATGACTAGTAACTTGAAAACTCAAAATGCCAGTGTTTGTTCTTTCGCTCATATCCTACAGTTTTGCACAAGCATACACTTTTAGATTTCCATAAACTTGGTTCTTTATCCGACCTCCACCCCAAGCAACATTTTGATACAACGCATTCTTTATTTTATTTGCCATGTTTGGGTTCCTAGTTACATGTTATGCTGTCTCCAAAACTATTGGTAAAATAATTGTGACAATCATATTCGAAAGATCATTTCTATTCTTATACTCTAATATATTTCCTTTCAACAAGTTAGGAACATAAAATTTTATATGACATCGTTTCTCCTTATCATCATTTTTAGCTTTATCCCAACTATTTGTAACTAAATTTGTATTATTTTCATTATCCAGCTGTTTCTATTGAGTGTCATGGGCATCATTATGTAGGTTTATACAAACCAGATTACTAGCTATTCTATTGGTTATTGTGCACATCATACATTTGATATCTAGTTTCTCTACTTATGTGTAATTCTATTGAAAATAACTTATAGCTTGTTGCTCGATTTCTCTGTCCTAGAATTCTATCGAAAATAATCTTTGTAACTATTTCCCAGGCCAGAAAGGGACATGCTTTTGTTTTGTTGAGTTTAATAATAGCAATTTTAAGGTTTCAAGGTGTCTAAGTATTTGACCTAGTTTGCAAAACCTCTATAAAATGAAAAAAATTGCTCTGGGTAGGTTGATTTGGCTCAACATAAGTAGAGTAGATTGGAAGTTTCTCATTTTGGCTTCCTTCAGTAGTTAATGTTGGTAGACATGATATTTTCTTCATGTGTAGACTTGGTCCTTTCAGCTCACTTTGTTTTTTCTAATTCTCAAGCTCTAGTACTTAAAAGGCTTTATCACTTATTTATTTTGTTACAAAAGATTTTCTAATTTATTTTTATATGTAGTCAACTTTTGATATCTTTTGCTCTTTTTTATTATGAACTTTCTATGATAGTCGCTTCTTAAATTCGGTCAGATGTTCGCCTCACCTTGGGATAATAAGGCGTAAGTCTCATTGCGATTTTTTATAGCATCGAAGTATGCCTCTTATTGCACAATTTTAAACACGTCTTTAAACAAGCACAAAACCATATATGCTACGGGGCATGTCATGAAAGATTTCGAGCTTACAAACCCATGTGAAAAGGTCTCCTTTTATAGATGCCAAAATCTTAACCTTCTTAACAAATCATATCACACATAAATTTATTGGTGAATACATAATTCATCCTATCCAATCATCCTTTATTATTAATATTCTAGGATATCATACTTCTTAGTTTTGAGTCATAATTAATCATTCTCTTTTTCATGTCAATATTCGGACGTCTGTGACTCCTTTTATCATAAGATCCTGAAGATCGAAAGGACTTGTCATGCTGCCATATGAATTTTAAAATGTATAATACACAAGAAGAATATAAGCTATCTATGCCAAAAGTGAATCTCACACAATTTTCATTTTTTTAAAGTGAACTAATGGTGGAAAATAATAGGACCTGATGATATCTCAATTTAAGTGTGGAAATATTTCAAAGATTTGAGAGTTTCTTAGCTTACTAAATTCTTTTAATTATTTTAAAAGCTAAAAAGATGCTTGAGGAGTGGAGGAAGAGTATTTTGGTCCCATTTTAAAGAATAAATCGGATGCACAAGAGTGTATAAATTATAGAAAATTTAAGTTAATGTGTAATACATTAACATTATAGGAGAAAGTAATTAAGCATAGGTTAAAACGTGATACAAAGATCTCTCATAATCAGTTTGGATCTATTTCGGGCTAGTCTGCTATGGAAGCTATACATTTATTGAGAGTTTTGATGGAGAAGTACATAGAGTAAGGAGGATCCACATATGATTTTTATTGATTTATAAAAAGCTTACACTACTGTTCAAGAAAAGTTTTGTGAAGAGTTCTACAAAATAATGGCGTTGATATGGCTTATATTTAAGTCATTAATGATATGTATAACAACATTGTTACTTGTGTGCAAACAGAAGAAGGATTGACCACATTAGGGATCGACTTTAAGCCCATATCTTTTTGCTTTAGTTATGAATGCTCTTATTGGACATTTACAGGAGAATATACCTTACTGTATGTTTTTGTTGATGATATTCTTCTTGTGTATAAGAATAGAGAATGTAGAAAAAAACTTGAATTATTGAGGTCTACATTAGAGTTTGAAGGCCTTCGTTTGAGTAGATCTAAATTTAAATATATGGAATTTAATTTTAGTAGTAGTAGATCTAGTGGCAAAGTTGTAATATGGGTGATCAAATCATTAAAAAGTGTGAATGATTTAGTTATCTCGGGTCTATTGTTCAAAACGATAGTGATATAGATGATGTTGTTATTGTTAGAATTTGAGTTGGTTGGTTGAAGTGGAGGAATACATCAGGCCTATTGCGTGATATAAAGTACTGCTTAGACTTGAAGGAAAATTTTATAAGATGGTGATGTTTTGTGGTGCAAAATGCTGGCCTTTAAAAGGTAAGAATAAAATTAAGTCGTGTTTCTGAGATGAGAATGCTTAGGTGGATGAGTGGTTTGACAATTAGAGACGAAATGTGAAACCATTGTATCTGTGAAAGGGTTGATGTAGCTCTAGTGGCAGACAAAATTAGAGAAAGTCGTTTTAGATGGTTTGATCACATTAAACGTGGACTATCTGATGATACATTTAGGAGAGTAGATGTTTTATATTCAACCTATCATAAGAAAATTAGAGATAGACCTAAAAAGACATGGGCATAATTTATAAAAAAAATGATCTTAATTATTAGAATAAAATGAAAATATGGCACTCAATAGGACATGATGGAGAAAAAAGATTCATGTAGCCGACCCCACTTAGTGGGATAAAGGTTTGTTGTTTCTTTTGTTGTTGTAAATTTGTCTTTTTGCCTTGAATAGTACATTGGTATGATTTGGCATCAAGGCAAATTGTGGAATAAAGATGTAAGTTATTTCATCATCTAAATTCTCCCATCATCTTGGGCTTGATCTTGTTTTAAACACTTCCCACATGTAACAGCCAACTTTTTTTCACTTCCCTGAGCTGTAATGATCCACTACAAACAACAACCACTTCACGGTTGCTTCCACGAAGACTTTTTTCAAGTATAATTATATTTTCCATCTTGGTTCTTTAAAGCTTAAAAATCTCATGTATCTTGATCTCATATTTCATGATCATTTATCCCAAAATTAATCTTTAGTGTCAATTTATGGTTATCAAGGCCCAGAAAGAAATGATGTGATAGTGCTAGCTACTATCGAGATTGTTGTTACACTAAGAATGTAAATGAACTAAGCCGACCATGGTGCTTTGGTCTTTTAGCTTGTTCATTTGTTGTTATCTTATCAGGTTTGAGCTGTGAAATTGAATGTGGCGTAAATTTTAAAATTTTTTTCAAACTTCTTTAGTTGTTCTATTATCAAGTTAAAGCATAATTGAGGCTAACTAATCATTTGTTTGAGGTTTATCACTAGACATAAATGTATTTATTCATGAAAGTCTACATAATACATTAAGTGCTATTTTATTTTTTTTCATGAAGTTCAAATATTTTAAAAAAGATATTTTTATTTATGTCTGGTTATTTATTTGATATTTTTATTTTGTATCTCTAATGCCGAACATAAATTTTAAAATGCATAGGATACAATAAAAATGATAGGATACAATAAAATTGATACAATAACATAAAATGGCATCAGTTAATCAATTAAGCTATCATTCAGTGATCATTTTATCAAACTAACTGCAAATTACCTAGTAAATAATGAAAAATCATGTTCATAAACATAAATGAATGATCTGATTAATCTTCAAGCATGCTTATTTGTTTGCCAATTTTCTAATTTTTTTTTCAAGCTTATTCCCTTATTAAATAAACTATCATAAATAAGCCTTATATGGACATGTGGCCTATTGTTCATATAGTGCATCACAAACTAACACCAAAGATATTGATATTTTTGTGGTTCATCTTCAAAAAAGTCTACTTGTGAGATTATAAGGGATTTGATCCAATAAAAGTCATAGAAATCACAATTGTGATGTACAGATTGAAGGAACACCCTCACTCAATCAAACAAAAGGCTCAAGGAAGCTCTATAATATAAGCTTATTACTCTCACAAAGATTCCAGCCACTAACATTGGCAAGGGGCCAAACTGCTGCCACTCATCAATGTTGAAATCCTACATCGCGTCCTTAGAGAAAATCAAGAAGATATTTAAATTGTAAGAAACCTAGCCGAAAGAATATGTCTTGATTCTTCAAATGCTTTCGAAATCCTAAATTAAGAGGAGAAGTTGTGGAAGCCATCAAACTTTTAAAGAGAACTCCTCTTATAGCTACTAGAACCTTATCTATCTTAAAGGTTACCTTGTGGGTGCTGATTTGATTCATACGACCTAATCTTCCTTAGAAATAATCTAAGGTTTCTTAATTTCTAACATTAAGTTATAATAATTTGCAGAATTTTGCTAGCTTCAATTCTTGTGTGCTTTTCAATTGCTTTTCTAAGTTACTTTTTACAGTTTTAGAAACTTTCTGATATCAACAACTGAATGCTTATAATTTCACAAGTCTATATGATTTGCCAGCCATTTTTCATTGCCATCAAAACCCCCCATACAACTTTTACTTCCAACACCTTAAATTTGTGACCCATGCTACATATTGTCTACACCATCTCTAACCGGTGAGTTTACATAAATCATTCTAACAGGCATGGAGGCTTCACAAAAAGAGACAGACCATGGAGATGCTTGATCCTGCTCTGGAATCCATAGCTGATACTGAACAGGTGGTTTTGTGCGCACATGTTGGTCTTCTATGCACTCAGGCTGACCCCAAAGTAAGGCCGGAAATGCGGCGGGTTGTGGTCATCCTCTCAAAGAAGCCAAGTGCCCTCGAGGAGCCAATCAGGCCAGGAGCTCCTGGCTCCAGATACCGAATGAGAGCTCATGGTTCTGCCAGCAAATTTTCGAGCACAAGCTCTGGTGCTTCCACCTCTGCCTCTAACATTGTCTTTTCTTCTAAAGCTAATGATACAGCAACTGTGTCTTCGCCTTTGGCTTCTGCTGCTACTAGTTCTAGCACTACCCCAGTAAGAAGTTCTATGCCCCTTCCTTATAAGTTCCATCATACAATTTGAATGTTGAAATGTTAGATTGCCATCTAGCACTCAAAACATTGCTATTTACAGATCTAACACTCTTGTCTGTCCATGTTTGTAATTCTTTCTCAAATATTAAAAATCATAATAAAACCTCAACCCATATTTTTCATTTTTATCAAATTCTCAATGGCTTCATCGTGGCAACCGTAGATGCATCAATTTGGTAGTTAAAAAAATCACATTGGTGCTAGTTTTGTAAATAGCAATGTTTCAAATGTTGTGTATGTAATTATCCCCTTGTTTTATTTTCTTTGCTTCTATTGTAATCAATGACAGTATTTTAGAAAAAAATTTATGACAGATGACTGACTTTATTTGAGGATCCAAATCTATTTGGCTTAAAAAAAAACTTAATTAGGTTTGACGACATCAAAGGGTTGGACCTAATTAACTGAATTTATTAATTATGTAGTATAACCTTATGTTCAGCTACTCCCAAATCTAGAAATCCATAGGTATATATATTATATTTTACATAAATATTTTATTGATTACTAAAAGTCATATGCTTCTTTCTAATAAAATAACTGGTTTTAAGCTACTTTCTAACAAAATAACTGGACTCAAAAGTTGACCCCCTTTTTAAGTTTGAATTAACATACTTGAATTCTTTTTTTTCTTTTATTTATTTGCTTCATTTGCTTTATGAGTTAATTGATGTTCTCATGTCAGTTAATGAGGAGTGGAATACCTTAGATATAAGAATAATTTATATATATTTTTATATTTCATACTATGAAAGTGGAGGTTAGAATGATTGATCCTGCATAAAAATAAAAACAAACCTTAAAAATGACATGAATTGCTTACATCAAAGTAAGATGGAAATGCAATTAAAACTTTTCATCTCAAACGGTAAGGTGTAAGATTAAGTTGCCACTTGATTTGCTAAAAAATAAATGCATATAATAAAAATGCCGTTTAATCAAAATGTTGCTCAAATGAAATATTTGGGAGTTAATTGATTAGGTATAAGACAACTATTGGAATTTACTTTTTTGGGTTTTGATTTGGAGTAAAATGAAATCATTGTAAATATAGGTTGGTCGCTAGCAGGTGTGAGAGATGGTGATAGCAAGGATGATAGTGATGACGACAAACAATGTTGCTCAATGATTGCGGTGATAGTTTCTATAGTGTATTTAGAAATTAGTCAAGTCTAATAAGCAACTTGCCCTCATACCCAGCAATAGTATTATTGCCCTTAATCCCTTCACCACCACATGAGTGAATTCAAACTAATAGTTACGATAAAAGAAGGGACAAGTCATTATTATTGCTACACTTACTAATTTCCTACCATCAGCCCACTCAGAGTGATGATGGCCGAGTTAGTTGAGGTTATTCAAAATAAAGAGTATTTTAAGTGTCCAGTGCCTATGAAAGTCGGCTTCAACAGAGGAATATAATGTCAGTATATTGTGTTTTTTCACATTGATTGTGGATATGGCACAAAGAGTTGTTGCCATCCCAAGAATCTTGTGGAGAAAGTTATTAAATCTAAAAAGCTGAAGGAAATTATTCTTGTTAACTTGGGGTCAAAGACTAGATAGGAGCCAATAACGGAGGAGAGAAATGAACTCACCTATACACAGGCAGTCCATATTTTTAGATTTGTACCTGCCATTATGAACGGATTAAAAGAGGTACCTCACTAAGTTATTCTCAAATGGCTTAGGTTTAAAAAGGTGAACTTGGCCACTACCTTCTTAAAATCAACTTTAAAAGTAAATCTAGTTATTTTTATAGAGGCTGACGGGTAATTGAACAAGAATCCTTACAACGATTCCATAATGATCACTGTTAATGATGAATTATCCAATCAGCAGTATACTCATTGACTTAGGTAGTTGTGTGTGTGTGTGTGTTTGTATGTGATTGATAATATGCGGCAATGCTCGAATTTATTTTAGTTAACAGCCTAACAACCAATAATGCTTTATTCAGTTGGGCCCTGCTCAACATATTTTGTGCAATCATCTCTACATATCATATCAATTTGATATTTGTGATATGATATAAAGTAAGGACAAATGGTAACACCACTCTAGGGGTCCCAAAATGTTTTTTAGTGGTTTTTGTGTGGAGAAGATTGTGGGACGACAAGGGAAAAGTAATATGAGATTTCAACGACATTTGGATAGAGATAAACATTGTTCGACTGGTGTGCTGACTGAAAACAACAAAGAGAGCTCCAAAAGAATAAGGTACGAAGGTTGAGAAAATTTACCACATGTTCTTGCACAAGCTACAGACACACTACTTGCAAAAGGAAGACGATACAATATTCTCTAGGGTTGAAGCAAATATTATAAACTCCATAATACTCAAAATAAAGCAAAAAATCCTTAAAAATTGAAAATAATAAGATATATATAATTCCCTTATAGGTAAAACTTAATTAGAAATAACAAAATAGCAAATAAATCAAAGAGGAAGAAAATATATGCAAAATTTTTGAAGTTGGTGCTCCCTTCCCTCTGTTCAAACCCACAATTGCCGGAGCCCCGATTCTGCAGTTTGCAAATTTGCCACACTTGGGATCACTAATCCGGGGACTATAAGAGATCATTCTCCCCAGCTATGAGAGACTCCTTTTCTTTGTGCTTTTGGAATTGATCTACCACCATAAGAATAAAGTCATTACATCGTCGTGGTTGAGATAACTCCACTACAAAATCTATTCTCGTGCTTATCCCAGACAACTCTAAAATACATAATTTCACAATTTGTCTTGATATAATAAATTGTCATCCCTTTTCGACATAATCATGGTTGAAACTGTACATAGACGAGTATTCTCACGAATCTAGCCTTGAGCTGTTAAATCTATAGCACACTTCTCCCATTTCTAGTACTCGGCTGGGTGCATTCTGTAAACACATTCGTCTGGAGCGAAATCTTTATAGCATGTTGGACCATTCTCAAGGGAAACCAACAATGAGGCCAACTATCATTCAGGTTATCCGACAACTTTTTTAACAAAAACTGCCCTTTTTTTGGTATCGACTCTTTAGGCTCACTTCTGCTGGACTCTCTCTCATGGGCTCAGTTTGAAGTATTAGCATCTATCCCTAATCGGTTGAAAACTAATACTCCTCTCCATTCTCCTCGTGTTTTTCACCCTCTACCTCCTCCACCGCACCATGCTCAATAAAATATATCATTCTTTTGTTGAGACAATGAGACGCAATGTGCCCAAAATCATGACACTCCAAACACTTCTTAGCCGGGATGACTTTGCGAGTGTTAGTTGTTTCAACTTTTTCTCCACTATGCACTAATTTTTTCTCTGGTGGGGTTATCTTGAATGCTTTATTGGGTGTACACTTGATGTATGATCCTAGGCGTAAACTTTGTTTCTATGGTGTGGCAGTCACATGGTGGGCAGTCACATGGTGACGTTATTTCTTCACTTTAAAGCTATAGGATATGTACATGGGGTAGGGACCATTACTGTTGCAGTTGCACCACATAACTAATAGAAGACCTCAATCCTCCAAGATATCTCTCTATTATGTGCTGCTTTGGTTCATGTAACTCACATTTTAGTTTGAGTTAATCAAATTCAGCTGTGTACTCCTCTATAGAAAAATCTCCCTGATGCAAGTAGTGGAGTTTTATGTATATATCTCGTGAGTAATATGGGGGAAGATTACTATGCTTCTCCTTTTTCATCTTAGACTAGGTAGAAATTTATTTTTTCCCTCTTGGCATATACGCTTCAAAATTTCTCACCATAGAGACACACTCTTCTTAAACTTTATAGCAATTATCTTTACCCTTCTATCAGGTGGAATATCCATGTATTCTCTAACACAAAACCTAAAAGGCTTGCTAAGAAAAGAGGAAAATAAGGGTTTTAGAGTGGTTTCAACTTCGTCTTTCGTACTAGGATGATGAAGCCCTTCTTCCTGCGAAGAAGCTCCTTAAGAAAGTCTCTCACACTAACCTCAAGAGACGGTGATGTGGAAGAAAAAGATGTGTAGGAAGAAGGTGGAGTCAAGAGAAGAAAATCTAGAAAGAAAATTTACCTCACCCAAAACTCTCAAAGGAAATCCCCAAGCTCTCCAAGAAGCTCGTACAAAATTTTCACTCTATCCCCTTATTCTCAGCCATCCCTCCCTTCAGAATGCTGTGAATATCAGAAGAGTGTGGAGGGAAAAATTTTTTTCGAAGTCCATCCTCCATATGGCATGTCTAACCTAACAAGTATCATGGCCAAAGCATGCAAATTGGCTCTCTGTTTAGTTTGGTGGCTACACCTATTTTATGGCCACTTTTCAACTGTTTTAAATCTAGTAATTGGCTGCTTAGATGGCATGATTCGATCAAGAGGGTCCACCAGAATTGGAGCAAAAAAAGTCCCGATAGGTCCATCCTAATTATAGAGGGCGTGCCATCATTCTGGCGTGGGGGCACCGAGGCCCTAGTGCAGGGGCGCCGGTGCACTGGCCTTTTGGTTGGGTTTCCCTTGCTCTTTGACATTAGGCAGAAGACATTGCTACTCTAGCGTGGGTGCGCCAGACAGAGGCAGGCATGGATGCGCTGCCCCCCTTAGCGCAACTGCGCCAAAAACAAGGGAAGTGCTGGTGTGCTAGGGCCAGGGTGTGGGTGTGCTCAGGCAGATCTCTACGAGACAGAGGCAGACATGGATGCGCTGCCCCCCCTTAGCGCAACTGCGCCAAAAACAAGGGAGGTGCTGGTGTGCTTGGGCCAGGGTGTGGGTGTGCTCAGGCAGATCTCTACCTTGGTGCCCTAGACACGCTCCAGGGAATCCTGATGGACGACTTTGGGTTATGGGAAGCTACTCCTTAGTAGAATTTGATCTCATGGGCTCGAACGGACGTCCCAAATGTGTGACATCAAAAATCGATGGTGACAATTATTTTTATTTTATTATCTAAATTTTTTCTTAAAAATATTTTATGTGCTTCCAAATTTTATTCTTCAGTTGGTATCAAGGATTTTTCCACTTATAACAGTAATTTATACATATATTATACAAAGTAAGAGAGTTTTATAGGCTAAATCAATTGGCTTTGCTTAAGCTAATAAGTTTTAATTTAGGAGACATGATATGGAAGGAGTTTTAATTTTTGTAACGAAGCTTAGGCTCACAAGTTTCTTTTTCATCATCTTTTTTAACCTTTAACACATTCCCATGCAGATAACTAAGGAAGAAAGCTACTCCTATTTAATCTCTCAAATACTCTATTATGCATTTGGATTTCTCACATGTGTTATTCCAAATGTACCCCACGTCTCTACTCTTAATAAAAAGCCTTTATTATTGCAGTTTGGATCTCTTTTTCTCCAC